TCAGTTATTTCCTTAAATTAAGTAAAATCCCAAAACAACCCCCAAGGTTGACAAGTACAATTAAAACTTAGAATCAACAGAATTTCAAGAGCAACATAATTTAAGCACCCCCAGTGAAATCATTGCCTTCATTAATTTGGGCACAACAAAAGGCGCTGACTGAAAGTGTCCATTAATGTTCACGAAAAGGGTCGGTCAGCCGAAAGGGATGAAGATTCCTTAGCAGTTTTTAATTGACTTCAATCGGGAAATATTCGGATAAAAACTTTTACTGTTGCTTTTCCATTTAGAAAAATCAACAATTAAAGGGGAGAGCGTAGAACGCTTCTCATCCACTTGAGTCACATGTGCCCAAGGCACCGGAAGCCGCATACGAAATTTCCCAAATTTATGCCTTGACTTGGCAGAGGGCTTATTAGAGAAGGGCGAAGGAAGCAACGCCCATTTGCATTTTGTAAATTGTTGCCAACGCAGCCCTGAAATATTTGACAAGGGAGGCGTTGCCCGGCCCCCAAAACATTGTTCGCTGGCATTGTCTGCGTTTAATTATAGGCGCAAATAAATGTCTATCATTTTGGGTTGTGTGGTCCAGAGGGCTACAACCCCCAACCACCTTGAGTTATGTGCAGAGTTTTAATGAGCTATCGACATTGGTGGGGAAAGTGGGAGGTTTTTGGCCCAAACCCAGCTTGACAGTTCGCAGAGCCGAGCAACTAATCAAGGCTTAGCCATAAGTTTCAGGACCTGCTTGAGAAGCGCTTAATCTGGCTTTAACGAGGAATGACTCCCTTCACCCACGCCCATCCATCATCAGCCCTTCGACCGGTTGCATTCCGGCCAACCCCCTCATTAACGCCCCAATAATTAAACTCAATTAATGGCCAAATGACCAATCAACTGGCACAGCGAGGGCACATCAAAGGCAACACGGAAATGCATCGACCTTTAGTCCCACCCTTTCCATTCGTATTCCCCCCTTAAAAGGGTCGCCCATGAAAACATCTCTCTGGGGCCACCCGCTAACAACTTCATTTGTCTCTGTTAAGACCCGTCTTGGCTTAGCAACCAAGACTCCTGACAAACTCCTTTCCTTATCTGGGGTGGCGGGGACTGTTACAATGGGGTCGGAATCAGAATCAAACCAAACCACACGCTGTGCCGTGCTTATCTTGACAGCAAACATTTACAAAAAGAAAACAGGGAGCAGGGGCCTCGAACACGTCTTTATCGCAGCCAAACAACGCGTTTCCAATTTTCCTTTCGGGCTGCTTCGCTGCGATCTGGCTTTTAAATACTCCGGAGGTAGATTAATCATCGCTCCCACTCCGAATAGCGATTACCTGCTCGCCTCGGCAGCAACTTCCTCCAAATCCAATTATAATTGCGCTTATCAAAAATAAGTTTTCGATACTTCTTGGCCCCGACTTGTGCAGCGAAAGAGCTCAAGATGTGCGGAGAAGAAAGACGGTGTCTCTGCCAATTTCACCAATATGGCAATTTAATCCACACAATCAGTTTAAGGCATCGCCATTTATCTCGCAGGCAGCAGAGGGGAGGATTGCTTGTATTACTTTTCCCCCGACTTGCGGTTGCCAATTGGGGATTTCTTTCCTCGGCATCGCTGTCAATTACCTCAAGTTTAATTGAAGGTGAAATTGTGTCGGAGCTGAAGAGCAAAAGTTGATGTGGTCAGCCCAGCCGTTCCGGGGTAAGATTTTGGCCCGAAAGTTATTCCAATGAAAAATGATATTCCGTTGAGTTGGATGTGGAGTGAATTAGTAAGGGGATAGTTAGTAGTTTGGAAGTAATAAGGAATAAGCTTCTGCTAGTCAAAGCATTGTTTCACAGTTCCTTGGTTAAGATCGTCGCTTTATTACAAAACCTATTGGATTGGAATTGAGTATCAGATCATTATATCATACGAATTATTATATCATATCGTATTTATTCTTTTAATTTAACCAAATATAGTTAAATCGGAGTATAAATTAAGTAATTTCTTAGTCAATTTACTTAAGAAGTAAAGTTGGCCTGATCAAAAAGGTTCAAACTAGGGTGAGTTTTATTTGCCAAATTTTTGTTATTTATTTGTATTATTTTATGTAATGTTAGCATATTTTACAAATCGAAAATTAATAAATGATCTTATAAAACTAGCTGTGGGGACCGTCGACTATATAAATACTAGGACTATAATAAGTATGAGTGGTCTAATTTGCTACTTTCAGTTGCAAGTCAAGTTAATTTGCTTCTCACACAACTCCTTTACTAAGAATTTTAATATTTTTATTATTATTTAAATCCGTTCAGTTACTAAACTCTTTGAGATCACAGTCGATCAACATTGATTTCCATTAACATGTTACCAGTTTACCTAGTTTCTTGACATTTGCCTGACAGGCCATCAAAATTGTGACACGTGCGAACAGTCGTGGCAGATAAGCATAATTGGCACTCTCCGCCGGCAGTGGAATCGAATGGAAAGCCTCGCTTAATTACATCCGCTCTTGGGGCTGAGCATTAAACTCAGAGGTCGGGCGCCTCGCACTTTCCATTTCATTTTAGGGAAATATAATAAACTCGCTCTTAAAATTCATTTCATTAAACACTCGCCATGAGCTACTACCAAGGACTACCAAGGAAGGTACCAGGACAAGGACAAAGGAGCGCCGCAGCAAGGAAGTCTTTTGTTTATACTCGAGTTCCGTTCCCCCGGCTCTGCCCCTCAGCCGAACTCGGGCAAATTAAGCAAGCTGACAATTTTCTCTCTCTAAACTGTACAACAACTTAATGAGCCTGCATAACTTTGCGACAACAGCAGAATGGTGGCTGGGAGGCGTGGTGGCAGGCGGGCAACCAAAAGCTAAGGACTTTCCCCCAATTTCGAGAGGGCGACAGATAAAAAAGCACGTAAACTTGCCCGGAGGCATCTCGCTCGGCGAACGGTGGCAAAAGTCATTATTCACTGTACTAGCGCGAAGCTACTACTCCCAGCCTCGTAACGCCTGCTAAAAAATAATCAACTTTTGCACGACTGTCACCCCATCCTCATTCCCATCCCAATCCCCTATTCCGGACACCATTCCACGGTGGCAAGTTCAGCGCAAAGTTTCGTGCCCGGCGTGGAGACAACTTCCGTATTGCCAGCGGCCCAATGTTGCATATGGCGAATGGTGTGTGGCGAATGGCGAATGACGATGTCCTAGCCAAAGTCTGGCCAGGCTCCCTTTTACAAATGACGCATTAATGAAGTGATTTTGCTTTTGGAGCATTTGAGTTTTTAGATTTTACTCCATCCTAATCCTTGTCATGTGATCGTGACTCGATCGATTTATTCTTAATCTGAAAAACAGTAAGCAATATTATTTAGAAATTTTAATTTTATCTCTAGAGGTATCCAATAATAAGTAAACAATTTGCAATACTATGGTTGTTTTATGCCTCAACCAATTAGTATCAATTTGATTTATTAAAATGATTTCGTTTTTATAGAATGATTGAAAGTTTTGATCTATTTTAATTTCCTTTTTATAAAAATGTCACAATTATAATAGATCTTAATCGCAAATTTAACAACTAATAAAATGTATTTGAATAATGTGAATTTAAATAATTAGCTACTAATTGAAAGTATTGACAGTGGTAACTATAGTTCGAATTAAAATAAATTTCTAAATCCTTTCAACCAGCCATTGATGTATTTTATTTCGCTACCAAAGTAGAAGAAAAATTTATAAAATTATTAAAATATAAACGCAATTTGGCATTGACACTTGTTTCCCTTCGATTCAGGACTCTTTTGGGGACCTCGGTGTCGTGTCACGATACCATCTCAAGGCCCAGCTCTCATTAACTTCCGCTTGAAGCTCTTGGTCGTCTGCGACCCACTCCAGCCAATTCCCTGTTTGTTGCTTTATGCAAATGTTTTTCTTGTTATTATTGCCTGGCCGCGATTCCCGCTGCCGCCGCTATGTTTGTTGCTTTGGTTTTGCTTTTGGTTTTATAGGAAAACACGCAAAGCAAACAAAGTTGGCTCCGCTCAGTGTTTTCTTACATGAGAGTTTTCTCTTCGGTCTGTTTGTACATATTTTAATTACGCGTCTCTGATTGGAAAGCATTTGCGGCGGGAGCTTGACATTCTGCGACTCTACGACTCTGCGGCACAGCTGTCGTCATCCGAAAGGCAATTTTTCGGTTACCCCAAGTGGCTGACATTTCGGGGGATGCGGGTTCAAGGGCGGGTCGAAAGGGTGCGGAAGTGTTTGCTTTGTGGCCGTCGCATTTTTTGTAATATTTGTTTACTTGAGTGCGTCCAGCCGGGGAATTAGCATTGCAGATTGCTGGAGCCGAGGCTCCAAAATGGCACAGTTGCAACGACAAGCGTATGGATAAATTAGGCAGTGCTTCCCCATTCATATGAGGTAATAACGAATAACAACCAGCTCCAGCAGGCACCACCTCACTCACAGCCGAGAAAAGAAATCCGCACTACAGTCATACACATAAAGCGTGCCACAGTTTCGGGATCGAATCGAATCTCATATTTCGCCAACTGCTGGCGGATGAAGAGCCCGGCAACATGTTGACTTGACAGTCTGAAGTTTCCGGGCAATTGACACCCTTTTTTCAATGCAACCCCCAGCTCAATCTGGGTCTTCGCTTTATAAGGGTAATTCCAATAAATCGAGGGGCGCCACCCTTAGCGCGGCGGAATATTACTTTTTTGCATAGCACACAAAACTTGATTATATTTTCTCTTCTCTGCCGTTTGAAGGATGGCATGGCAGTCGCTTTCGGCGGGGGTGGTGTAATGTGTAATGTGCGCCAAAATCAAACTCCAATCAATAAATCGATGGGCGAAAGTCATCAGCATAAATTGTGATGGCCAGACAATTAACAATCGACCTGCAATCATCATTAACAATGGCCCATAATCCACTCAACGTCGGCCAAATTGCCTCGTTTTAAATTGTAAATATAAATTTTGATAGCATTAAAGGTTATTAAGCCTGCAAATTTATTGTTGTGGCCCGTAACGAACCCTTTGCTCCTTCGATAATTGTGTGTGCTTAATTAAATTTTCATGCAGGTGCCATAAATGATTTTCACCCCTGACGTCTAATTAGATTTACATTTTTACGACCTGCTGCATTGCTCCAATGCGAATCCTCTTAATTGTCCTGCTTAACATCGTAAAAAGCTGCAAAGCACTTAAATTCTTTTCCACGCATTGTCAATGAAGGAACTATTAACTCGTTTAATAGGGTCCCTCCCAGGAATGCACCTTGCCGGGAGTGGGAAGTTTCTTGGCTCCGGAATCATCGCTCTGATCGCAGTCCTGGGATTTGGTATCCTTGGCCTTGAGAGGTGGTGATGGGCTGCCATCCTTGGAGGCATCTGAGGACTTCTTTGCCGCTTCTTCAGCCTTCTTCGCCTTGGCGGCCAACATCTGCTTGTGCTCCTGCACCACATCGACGAAGGGCTTGACCAGTCGCCGAGGATCCCTGGTGTAGTAGTAGTTGGCGGACAGGCCCTCCGAGGGACCTTTAGGAATATCCGGAGGCGGCTGAGTCCTGGGGGAGATCGTGTCCGCAAAGCGGAGAGCCGTCTTGTGGGTGCGGCCCAGAAAGAAGTTGCGCACCCGGCTCAGGAAGCCAGCTACGTCGCGATGTTTGGGCATCTCTGATTCGTGTGTGTGAGCTGGTCGAGTAGTTAGGGGTTTAGACACAAGGGCTGAGTGACTACAAAGTCAAAGTGCTTACGCACAGCCAGCCCTTCCGCCGATTCCACACGACTTGACGCAACAGTTGCCGCGTCAGAGCCCTCAAAGTGGTGGATGACTCAATTCAATAAGCGTCAATCTTTCCACGCGCTCAGCTGTCAATCAGTGAGGCATCGAAATCTGCCAGCGATGAATTTCAATTATGGCCACAGAAAAGAAACAAAGCAGCTGGCAGGGGGAAGTCACGGGGCCACTTGGCCTAAAGCAAAAACACATTCGCAGTATCATCGAAGACAGTGCAAAAAGTCGACATTGGAATTAATAAAAATACTTCAATTTCCGATGCCAATCAGGGCGGAGATCCCTCCCCCATGTGACGCCACTGTGACAGGAGCACGCGTCGGGCTTTACTGTACTTAGAGCGGTACAGCACGTCCGGCTGTCAGCCTGTCAGCCGGAGCAGAAGAAGCAGCCCTCGGCCGGATTTCTGCCCTGCGAACACGAGCTGGAGATGTTAATCAGGGCTACGGATCCTTGAAACTCCGCTCACATTGCATCTGATAAGCAGCTTGTCGAGATTTACGAAATCGAGCTGATTATGTCCTTGCGAGATGGAGACTCCTTGGACGCGTGTCAAAGGGTGGCCCGGTAATTTTCGAACGCTGTTGATGTGTTTACCTTTTGGCTTTTCCAGGGAAATCCTGAAAGTTTCTGGGTAAGGGGTAGTTATGCCCCGGGCTTCGAACCCGAACGCAAAGGAAAGTAGAGTCATCGGCTATGGGAAAGGCATAAATCAGATTGACTCCTCGCCCAATTTGATTACAATTTACGGCACACGCGGAAATCGCTCGCGATAAGCTCGGCGAGCTAAATATCAGGTTAACATTTATCTGGGATGGGAAAAATCCGGAGAAATTGATTCAATGTGTGAGAAAAAACTGAATTCGATGTGGAAAAAAATGCATTTCAATTTGCTCTCGATTGGATTCTGGGCACAAAATGGGAATGAATGCCTTATGAATGTCATTAATAAATACACAATGGCCAAAAATAAGTGTAAAAGTAAAAATAATATTACGTATCTCATTTCTTTACTGAAACATTTTCATAAGCCAGTGAATCACTTAAAAATTGCACTGCATTAACTTTAAAATTAGTCGAAATAACTTTAATAACTTTAATCTTAGTTTCTAAAATATGAAGGTATATAAAGCATTGATAGTTGTATTTCAAAGTGATTTTTTATTTCTAATTTTAAGAACAAAATGTGGGCCATTAGGACTGCTTCAAAAGTCCGCCTTAATAAATTTGAGGATCTTAACAGAACTAAACGATTCATTTGGCGTCACATTGTAAGCAAATTAAAGACGAAAGACAAAAATCAAATTATTTTTCCGATAAGGAAAATTCGTTTGGGGGAGGTTTTACAGCAGGCGTGATTTACCAATTTCTATGGTTATTCATTATTTTCGGCATAGAAAAAACAGCCACTAGATGGAAACCTTTAAAGTGACATTCGATTCGCAGCTGTCTTCCTGGGGTAGTTCATCTGGGGATGGTGCATGCGGTCGCTGTGTGTTCGCCTTCTGATTGAACTAATTGACACATGTGAGGAGAAATTTACCAAAATATCGGTTTGGGATTTCGTAATTCGAGCCAGGGTTGGCCGAGAGGTGGCGGGCTCCCTGAACTTTGCAGCTCTCCGTTGGCCCTTAGTGCTGTTCCTCCATCTATCGTCTGCCCGTTGTAATACGATATGTCAACAATATCCAGAGGTCGCAGAAAACTTTAAAAGAAACGGAGAGCCGAGCAGCGAGATGCCGTGCGGTGAAAGTAAAAGTAGCGAAGGTCAACATCATCAAAATGTCTGTCTGGGCGCAGGACAAACAGCTGAAGGAGCAGGCTCTCGTCCGGCAGCACACAGCACACACATGCTCCAAGGATGCGCCAGTGTCCTGGGCTCCTGTACTCCTGGTCCTGTCCTCGTCTCGTAGTGAAAATGATAATGTTAAAGTTTTACAACTTAAGTCGTCAAAGTCAAACACACTCTAGGGAAATTACAAACACATTCGAGACAAGAATGTGAAGCACGAAAGTCGTTGTCCGCCGGGCGAAAGCAGGATCTGCAAAATGCGTGGGGGGTGGGGTGGCAGTGGGTCTGGGAAGGTCAAGAGATGAGGGTGGGCCCCAAACTTTGCGGGAGGTGTGATGAAATATACGTACTACGTACTCGGCACATCCTCTCAACTTTACCTGCTTAAGCTCTTAAGCTCACTATCCCTTGTTGTTTGCCGCTCAAGCTTTTACAGTGCTTCGGGGTGGAATTAGTGACAGGTCCTTGTCCCTGCTCCCCTCCCCCCGGCCCACTTCCGCCATTAGCATAAATAAGCGTTTCTAAGTACGCCCCATAAAGGTGTAAATGCTCTGGTATTATTAGCCAAAGGCGAGCCCAGGGACCCAAAGACAAGAAGAGCTGACGGGGGAGTCCGGCGAAACCGCTGGAAGCTCTTCAGTGACTTTTGCTAGCGCTAAAATTTTATGGCCTCCAACTCACATAAAATTTGCTCTCCAAGTATTTCATAAAATTTTGTGGCGCATCAAAATTGTGGCACTTGCAGCGGACTCCAACTTTCCCGGTGCGTTGTCTCTGGCTCGAGGAGGTTCAAATGATGGGTGGAAATGAAATTTTATTAAATGACCGTCAAGTTCTTGGCTACTTAACTTAGCTGTGAAATTAGCCGGTTGTTGGAGGGGAGATTCGAAGGAGATGACTAAGCAAATGGGTCAACTTAAAGGTAGGACGCTGGGGAAAACTTTGAGTAACAATGTTGCGGTGACTGAAGAGTGGAACCGATGATGCAGTTCATATTTCAGCCCGAGGGGCAACCAAACCTTTACCCAGTTATCTTCGCAAAAAGTTTTACTCTTGCTGCCAAAGTGCTTTAAATTGTTTTCGGCACAAAAGTTTCCACCTCAGGGCAACTGTTATTTCTTCCCCAGATTCACAGAGTGCAAGGAACCTATCGACGACTCGAAGGCAGCCTCCTGCCGCTCATTAAAATTTCCCAAACGTTCTGTTTATGCAGCGAGAACTGTTCCTCCATTGGTATGCCCCCACTCAAAAGAAACACCTCCTTCGCAATCTACGCACCCATTTCCCCGGCAAGTGAACACTGGCTTTATTCGTTTCATGCCCACGTTTATTGTTTTCCCAGTCATTTTCAGCATCTTATCAATTTGACTCACAGGCACAGGCACAAGGACAGGCTCGGGCAATAAAAGAGTAACCATTGTTTCCTGCGCCAACCTCTTCCGCTTTTCCTCTGTCATTGATAATGAAGACAGCAACAACATTGTCTTTCCCTTTGCCAGGACCAGAACGTGACTCTCTTATCAATGCGACTTATTGCCATGACGCAGACTTGTTCCTCGGGGGCGTCCTGCCACGCCCCCTCTACCAACCGTTCAGATATCGCCGAAGCAATTAAAATTTGTAGCTATTGGTGGAGCGGAGCGTTCGGAATTCGGAATTCGATAGCGGCCGCTCGTCGTTTGCAAATCATTTGGCAGTCTTTCGAAGACTGCCTCCTTGGCAATTCCCCCGAGGGGTTCGCCCCATCGCTCATTTTTCATACTGACAGCCCAATGGGCGTTAATTGCGTGGGTTTGGTTAAGGTTACGGCGTCAGATAAGCGCGCGTGATTTTTCTAAGAATTCTGCGCCCAGAGGGCATGGCCTCCTCCTTAAAGCAGGGGGATGAAACCACGCCTTGTTATGTGGCGCAATTCACATTACTCCCCCATTCGGCGATTTAAATGAGGCATCGGCCTCTCCAGCTTTGCGTTTTGGTGGCAGGCGGCGATAAGGCGAAGATGCCAGAGGTTTGGAGGTCCAAAGCGGGGATGATGTACCATTTTTGAATTGGCAAAACGTGCGGCAAATGGCTTAATTACGTCTGAAGAGATGAGCTTTGATGCTAGCAAAAGAAGAAGTGGGCTTAAAATATTTTTTAATTTTTTAATGGCGCTTTGGCTAGGCCACAAGTTGCTCCAAATATCGAATGATATTTCTTTTACCGTCTGGTAAGCCTTTAGCTTCTGTTCTTTTCAGGAAGGGGGGTATTTATCATATCAATATCCCTGTGGCTGCCCACTGTAGGTGCTAACAAATGATTCCCTGAAGCACCTCCTCCTGCCATGTCCATTTAAATGCGCATATTTCACAGTTAACATGCCTTGACAACATGCCCTGCCGGCTTTCTTCTTTGGCCTGCTCTAAATATGTAAACAAATAGTTTTGGCAATTGCCAAGTGGGGCATGTCAGACGCAACCCTAGTCCCCAGTTCCACCCCGACCCCGGCTGTGACCCCCGTAACGCAGGTCGTCCACTCAGGCTGCATGTTGTGGCATGCGGTTGTGCAACGGCAACAACTTTTGCAACATGCAACCAGACGACTGGTGCCCTTCCACTTCCTATTTCCCACTCCGAGGATGGCAAAATAAACGAGGCCTTAAATCGAACTTTGTACACGGGTCGTGCCGGGTCGGAGGCCGGGATCGTCTCGTTTGAGGTTAACATAATTTAAGGCAGCAGAGGCAGAGGAGCTGGATTCCAGTGGAGAGGCGAGGCCCCACTGAATGCCCATTTAACATGCTGCCAACGTGCGTGAGTCCGTGTGTGAGTGTGGCAATTTCGCAAATTATAAATTTTCCACCTGCGCAATATGCTGGGTGCCTGGTCTAGGGGGGCCGGACCCCCTTTGTTACTCCTCTGGATTGTTGGGAAAAGTTCTAGGCGCACCGAAGTGCTTCCTGCTCACAGGCAACAATCCGAAAATTGATCGTTGTTTCCGGCTTCTCTATTGCTTCGTTGTTGGTCGGGATATTAAGTCGACACCGAACTTTATGCATTTACAGTACTTACTCACTACAGGGGTCTTAAGAAATTTTAACCTTAAAAAAACAATGTTTTTGAGTTAATTGGTAATTATTGAAAAT